GTTGGACTTTTGAACTGCCCACGGGAGCTACCGCTTACTTACTGATTTTAAGTAGGGTGATTTGCCTAATCTCCCTGCCTTTTGTACATTGCTAAGCTTCTTTCTAGTTGGTTTTGGTGATGCCACTGGAAAATGTCTCTCAGTGACCGTTGGGCACACCCCCCTGCATGCACGCGTTCGCCGTTGGTCGGACGGGGGGTTAGCGATGATATGAAAGCTACCTTCAGTGTCTTCTCCCAAGGTTTGAGTACGCGACCCGACTTGCCATCGTAACTTTTTTAATGGGCATTCAAATTGGGTTCTAATTTCTTCCCTGGTATGCCCTGCTCGTCCTCTCCCCGAAAATCACTCGTTCGTATGCCTGCGGGGCGTGCTTCACACTTTCCCCAGACGAACCCCACGACACAATCCTACCGCGATAGCAAGCCGAACGACATTCGACATTCCGAGACTGCAGTAGATGGAGCAGATTCGGAATCTTATCAACCAAAATAAAGTATGAAACAATAACTCTCTTTTTCGAGATATCTCATAAGAGATCAGACGTCCCCCCATAAATCAAAATTTTGAGAGCCTTTTTAAAACATATCCTACAAACGTTTCAACGTTCACATTAAAGTAGGCAAAGCGGGCAAAATTCTTCCCTACAAACTTTACAATAATACGGCCTACGGATGGCTTCTTTCAAACATAGTAATTTAAAGTCCCAGTTAACACATAGTCCCGTTCCAAGGGGTGTATAACATTGTGATGGATGGGGAGTCAACCCTGACCGATGGGATATTTGTCTTTTATTTGAGTGCAACTGGTAGGCGGGACTTTTTAGCAATGCAGAACGTATGGGTACGTTCCTTACACTGTGTAGTCAAACATACAAGTAAACAAATTCCTGCTGTATTTTGGGAGGGCCGTCGACCGAAAGAGCTATTACCCTGACATTTGCAAAATGCGGGTAAAACACGCAATAAAAATCCCCGGGTTATCTTTTAGCAGACAAGAAATCATCAAAGAGTAATCACAGGCTTTATTCATAACTGCCTGCAAAAATAATTTTCCATAGTAATGATGACGAATGACTGAAAAAATGTTTGCCAATATGACTTTCTAATCGTAAAATGGGATTTCGCAGAAATTTTAAAGAAATTGATTTGTTGTAGTGTGTAAGAACATGCCATTAGACCGCTCTTGTTTTCCAAGTATTGATAAGCTTGAATTAACCAGTATTAGGTTTTACGTGCAGGCTAGATAACAAACAATTAGCAAAAATACCGTCAACATTATAAATACAATTTTGTCTAACATGTACACTGTACATGTACCATGAACTCGATCCTTTCATCTAGACCAACCAGCAACTGGCAGCCTTAGGTCCACACTGATTGGAAGTTAGGACTGGCTGGAAATACAACATTTTTCTTTTTGAGCGGATGACCGAGTATAAGCTAGTAGTTGTTGGAGGTAATAAACTTTTTGAAATGTTAACTCTACTTTTCCGATCCAGCGGGCGCCGTCGGAAAAAGTGCGCTAACGATTCAGCTTATACAGAATCAGTAAGTCGTGTTTAAGTCTCGATTGCATTCTAGTTTCGTCGAAGAATATGACCCTACGATAGGCAAGTTTTCCTTACCCTGCTCAACTTACCCCTACAGAGGATTCATACCGAAAACAAGTCAACATAGATGGAGAGACTTGCATGTTGGATATCCTCGACACAGCTGGTCAGGAGAATTACAGGTATATTAAATTTCCTCATTTTACCGCCTTAGCGCCATGCGAGACCAGTACATGCGAACAGGAGAGGGATTTCTGTTGGTTTTTGCCGTAAACAATGCAAAAAGTTTTGAGGATATAGAGCAGTACCGCGAGCAAATTAAACGCGTGAAAGACGCGGACGAAGTCCCTATGGTTTGTAAGTCTCTCGCAGCGTTTCCCTATTTTTTTCTTAGTAATTGGGAACAAAGTAGACCTCCAGGTTCGGACCGTTGATGCTAAAAATGCCCAATCCGTTGCGAGAGAGTATGGCATCCCGTACGTCGAAACTTCCGCCAAAACTCGTCAAGGAGTAGAGGACGCCTTCTTTACGTTGGTTCGGGAAATACGGAAGTTTGTAAGTAGCATATTCATTTTATAATTGACTGTTATTCCACACGAACGCTTGAATGTAATTCTATGCGTCATGCATTTTTCCTCTTTCTTCAATGCTGGCTTATGTCAGAAAAATATGTACTAACTAGTTGGCACAGCTGTAGTTTGTCATGCTTAGAAATAAAATTTTGAGCCTCATCAAGTCGTCAGATAGATAACCCTGCTTTTGTTAACTACAAAAAGGAATAAAATCGTCACCAGTAGTGCGACCTAAAATATCAGTATTCGTATGATGCTCTCCGAAAAGACTGTCAGTCACCAGTTTCGCCCACTGTATACATCGAGTAGCGCCTTATGCCTCGTAATTTACGTTCAAGTTGGTTGTGTAATTGACACTATCGCAGGTTCCAGAGGTTGAACTTCAGTTACCACCACAGATTGGTTCAAAATTCCTTTCATGGCGGTAAAGATCCATGAATCGTGTGATTGCCTGCTTTCAATAGGAATTTTTTGGCGATGGCAAAGGTTCGCAATTACCCGCGTTCGACATTCACGCGCGTTTTACCTGCAGTCTTTAACACTTGCACTAATTTAGTCAACCTCAGCATCAAAGGCACCACGTCCACTGTGGCTTATGTACTGCGATTTTTGACTATATTCTTGGCAGTCTTTATTTATTTGTCGTTTCATTCCCGAACATCGAGGGTAGTCGGACTTTTCACCCTCTCCAGTTCGAATTCAACCGTATTTGCTTTTTAATTGATTACATCCACCATCGTTAGATAAGAACTTTACCGAATCCCAGTGAACCATTCTGTCACTCACTCTAAATTTTTTCGCTAGCGGGCTGTCAT